ACAGGGGGGGGGGTGAGAAAGACAGAGAAAGAGAGAGACAGAGAGAGACAGAGAGACAGAGAGAAAGAGAGGAAGAGAGTGAGTGACAGAGAGAGAGAGAAAGAGAGAGAGAAAGACGCTCCGTCAGACGGAGAAAGAGAGAGAGAGAGAGAGAAAGAGGACAGAGAGAGAGAAAGAGACAGAATGAGAGAGAGAATGAGATAGAATGAGAGAGAGAAAGAGAGACAGAGAGAAAGTGAGAGAGACAGAGAGAAAGAGAAAGAGAGAGACACAAAGAAAGAGAAAGAAAAAGAGAGATAGAGAAAGAAAGAGAGAGAGGGGGGAAGGGAGGAGGGAATAGGGACAAGGCTCTACCATCAGCCTGGGGGGGGAGGGGGGCGGGGGTAATGAGCTTTAAAATGTTGGGTGTTTTTACACCTCAATCGCCACAATTTAGATCATTATGGAGGCAACCTTCGTGCCTATCAGGACCAACCCAGGCTGAAAAGGATACAACATCTCAGCAGTAAGAATGAGATACTCAATAAAAATTCTCCCCATTCGGAAAATTGAACTCTGGCCTCCTGCATGCGACAGCCATACACCAGAGACACCAGTAGGGTGATATTGAAACTAACAGTCACTCTGTCATAAGTAGACAGGCAGACAGACAGACAGACAGACAGACAGACAGACAGACAGACAGACAGACAGACAGACAGACAGACAGACAGACAGACAGGCACACAGGCAATTGCTGCCTTGAAAGATAAAAGAAAACTTTATCAGGTATACATATTTTAACAAATAAGACAAAATGGAAGTTGAATTAATCCAACGAATCTAATAAAATGTGTTCACCGTAGTAGAAAAAAGAAGAGACAATACATTACAGAAATCTGGAAAACTCCACACAGACTCACAGGACCTTCTATCTCATCAAACATCTGTCATACTTATCTCTCCTCCTTCTTTTTTGTGTATGTCACTCTTTAGTATCACCTTTAATCTTCCGCACTTATGATCTAATTGTGGTGCATGAGCCGTAAAACTCTTACTAAAACTAGGACTTACAGGTCGAAGAGTACGTTGTGCTGGGGGCACATGCCCATATCGCTGCGTATCTCATCAATGTGCGTCAAGATGTTCCGGTCGTACACGTACGCTGTGCCAGATGTAGGGGGGAACAACCCTGTCAAGATGGACCTGGAGGAAGGGAGAGAAGAAAGAGTTAACTGAGGACTGTGGTGTGAGATTATAACACAGTTTGTTTGTTTGAGCAAAAGGAAGCACATTAACACAGTAAAAGTCATTTTGTGAAAAAAGTAAGACCGACAGACAGACAGACAGACAGACAAACAGACAGACAGACAGACAGACAGGAAGGCAGGCAGACAGGCAGGCAGGCAGACAGACAGACAGATAGACAGACAGACAGACAGACAGACAGTAACAACGGAGACAAAGAAAAAAAGTAAGACCTGCCATCAACTTGCGATGCAGTAGAGTTGAATTTTACAGCAACCCATCACAATAATGGCCACATTTTGTCGGGAACAGAATTCCAAAAAAGCAAGAACAGACAGGTACAGAAATTCATTCGTACCAACTGCAATGAGATTACTGAACACACAGTGCTACAATAAATGAAACAAAAAGAGTATGAGTATGAGAGCGTCAATACGCTGTTGTGGTCGAGAAATTTGAGAAAAGAGAAGCATATCAACCCAATAACAGGAATTTAATACGAGCAACTGCAAAAAAGAGCAGAATAACGGATTAAAAGAAACAACAGAAGATCAGAAAGAAGTATCAGAGAAGTAAAGCCTTCCACTGCCACCCTCCAACCACCCGCAAAATGTGTGTAAAACACAAAACTACTCACATAGTGGTTGTCTTCCCCGCCCCGTTGTGGCCGAGGAAAGACGTGATCTGACCCTCGTAGAAGTTGATGCTCAGACCATCCACCGCCACCTTATCTCCCTTGTTGTAGACTTTACGCAGGTTCCGAACAGACACGCCCACTTTTCGGCCAGTCGGGTCTTTCTCCATGTTGCCGCTATTGTCTGCAGAGGACAAAGGTATGCTGTTTTACTAATTTGGGAATTTAACTCTTTATTTATCTCCTGAGACGGGAGGGGGGGGGACCCAGTAAGCCGGGGCCCTCTTTTGGTACAAACTTTTAAAGTGTTATATACTTCACTAACTTTGTCATTACATCAATACGAATGAACCTTTTTTGATAGTTCTTCATCTAATGAAAGAACTCCCAATAAAAGAGACCTATTTTCCACGATTACCGAGAACTAATTCGATGTTGAAGTCGTTGTAAAGGAATGTGCCTGAGCCTGTGAGGGCCACTCACCGGCACAGCGGTTCTGAACGAGAGCCGCTCAGAGGGTTTGTTGGAGATAAGGAGTTAACACTTTGCAGTCACTTGGCGCAATAATGCGGCGCTGGGGTTTTTAGTTTTGATTGTAAAGCACATAGAGTTTGCTGCTGAGTGGAAAAATGCACAAAACAAACGCTACATATTCTTCTTCTTCTAATTATTATTATCATTATTATTATTATTATTATTATTATTATTATTATTATTATTATCATTATTATTATTATTATTATTATTATTATTATTATTATCATTATTGTTATTATCATTACTATTATTATTATTACTATTATTATTTTCATTATCATTATTATTATTATTATTATTATTATTATTATTATTATTATTATCATCATCATTTAGAGAGTTAACACAGAATACAATGGGTACAATAACTCAACAGAGTTGTGACAGAATATGATAATACAATGATATAGTTGAGATTTATCACCGATTACAATGGATACAATGATTCAATAAAAAGTTATCAGTACATCACGCCACTTAGAGAACTAGAGCAAAGTATGAGAGACCACAAAAAAACCTGGACAACATTTTGAGAGTGTCTTAGCAGTGACATGAGTGGTGAACCGTGAAGTCTGTTTCAGAGCTGGCTCACAAAGAAGAGGAGGAAGGGAAGGAGGAAAAGCAGGAGAAAGGGGAGGAGGAGGCAGGGGAGAAGGTGGAGGAGGAGGAGGAGGAGGAGGAGGAGGAGGAGGAGGAGGAGGAGGAAGAGGAGGAGGAGGTGGAGGATGAGGAGGAGGAGGAGGAGGTTGAGGAGGAGGAAGAAGAGGAGGGGGAGAAAGAGGAGAAGATAAGAGATAAGATAAGATATTACTTTATTATCCCAGAGGAAGAGAGAGACAGCGGAGAAGAAAAAGAAGAAATAAGCGGCAATGGAGGATGAAGTAGAAGAGGAGGAAGAGAAGGAGGAGAACATCACACCATCACAGATAATAATATAATTAGCGATTCAGTTTCTCAGCCAACCAACCTCTGAAATCTTCCACACTCATCTCCACGTCCATCCTGTCCTGCTTCTGTCTGTCGATCGTGCCCATCCAGAACGACTTCTGGATGAAGAACCAGGGCTTGCGAGGAATTCCGTACTCACCTAGGAGAGACATGATGCAAAATATGAGATAACTTTTTTTTGTAAGAGTTTTACGGCACTTGCAACACAATAAGGTCATAGAAGTGCCAAAGATTAGAGGTGTTACAAGGGAGTAACAAAGACAAAAAAAGAAGGAGGGGAGATAGAGACGATAGATGTTTGATAGGAAAGAAGGAGCAAACCACACCAGAGCACCCGCCAACCACCCACATGAGATAACTTAAGATTAGCTTATTTAGTTCTAGTAAGAGTTTTGTAGTCTAATGGTTAAGCTACTGGACTCAAAGTCGGGGGGTGTTAGCTCGAAATATTTCATTAAAAATGGTTGAATTCCCTATAATTTCATATAACTGTTATCAGCCCAAGACAACAAAGATACAAAACTTGATGTTCAAACCTGGGAAAAACACGCCAAAAGATGAAGATGAAAGTAAAGCATAACTTTTCATATCTTCACAGCCCATTGTCTTCTGTTCCTACCAGATATAACTGTGACCCTACCTGTGAGTCCCCACCATAACCCCACCATGACCTCACAGTGACCCTCACCATGACCCCACCATGACCTCACAGTGACCCTCACCATGACCCCACCATGACCCCACCATGACCTCACAGTGACCCTCACCATGACCCCACCATGATCCCCACCATGACCCCACCATGACCCCCACCGTGACCCCCACCATGACCCCCACCGTAACTCAACTGCTGCACACTTGGCCAAGCAGTCAAAATAGGGAGCTATACTATACTTTTTCTAAAAAAACAAAAATAGGAAGCTATCTTTAACCAAAAAAAAGTATTTAAAAACTTTCTTTTACAAAAAAATGTATTTAAAAAACTTTCTTTTACAAAAAAATGTATTTAAAAACTGTCTTTTACCAAAAATATGTAATAAAAAACTGTCTTTTACCCCAAAAAAAAATATTTTTTAAAAACTTTCTTTTTTTTAATTTATCTTTAAACAAACAAAAAAACAAAGCTAAAAGTTCCCTACCCGGGAAGACGGCCTCGATATACCAGGCGATGAGGAAGTAGATGATAGCGTCCAGGTACATCATGGAGATGCACATTTCCAGGCTGAAGGTGTCGTCCACCATGGGGCTAGTGCCGATGTTTGACCACTGGGCGCCGATCGCACCCTCCTCATACTGGGAGAAGTAGCTGCAGGCGTAGCCCATGGCGATGTTGGAAGACAGGCACTAGAGGGGAGAGAAATGTTAGTTTTAGTAAAGGTTTTACAGCGCTCGCAACTGCATAAGGTCATATGAGCGCCAAGGGGCGGATGTCAACAGAGAAGTCTAAACGGGGAATCAGGTTTACTCTGCTCTCTTCTCTAGCCTCAACAGCACAAAGTCTGCTTCGAATATCAAGGCACCCCGGAAATAGCAGTTCACAGGAGAGTGACAAACATGCAAAAGAAGTAGAGGGAACATGACGATAGTAAGGATGAGAAAGAAAAAAGTAGCAGATCCCAGCTATGTAGTTCCGGCACAGTATGAGCATGACATTGATAAATCAACATGAAGTTCTGTGATTAAGACATTGTTCCGCATAGTGATTTAATTTCTGGCTTCAACATCATTTCACATTGTGAATTAATTTCTGTGAGCAGACATCATCATAACGCTTTTTCTAAAATCCCGACTAGACGATACGGAGCCCGACAGAATCAAACCCAGAACCCTCCGCAGCAGGCTCACCGCGACGATCCGATGCCAGGTTTCAATCTCCTCCTCAAACTGCACCAGCTGCGTATAGGGCAGGTACAAGACGAAGTAGATGAAGCCTCCGCACACAGCTGCCAGGTTGGCCTTGTTGAAAAAGACGGAGATGAGGAAGCACTGCGTGATGGTGGACACCACGAAGCCCATCATGAAGACAAACACCACCAGTGGGTCCGAGTACTCCAGGATCTTTCCCACCTGGGGACGAGAAGTTCGTTGGGAGTTTTGCATTTGAGGAACAAATGGGAAAAACGACAGTAGTCACGAACTGGAAATTGTGAGGGATTTGACACTTGGAGAGGGTGCGAAAGGAGAAGAGAAACAGGAAGGGGAGAAGGGGATGGGGAAGGGGAGAAAGAAGGGGAGGGAGATGGGGGAAGAAGGAGGAGGAGGAGGAGGAGGAG